CCTGAACCTATCTTCATGGTACTGACTGGGTCAGCTCCCCTTGTTTGGAAGATGCAGATTTATCATGTTCTGAGGTAATTTCTTACATGTAATGGCATGGATATGCCTAGCAGCCAGTGTGGAGTTCTTACCTACCCTGGTACTGGTTGTGGATTTAGCATGAACCATCTCACAAAGACCAGTGGCTTGGACATAATCAGAGCCCAGGGCCATATCAATGACTTTTCTGCAAACTTGGGGTTTCCCTCCATAATCCAAGTCATCCCTAGATGCTTTGCATTGTGCATCTTCAGTTGTGTGTTGCTAACATCTAAATAAGACTCACCATCTACCCACTCTTGATAACAGGCCTAATATTGTGCATGCAGAGTTTCACTCACAAAAGTTACCTTTGGAGGAATCGGAGGAGACTCAGCTTCACCGTCTCTTGACCTTTTCTTCATCCCTTGGTGTGGTGGTGGAAATGAAGTCTGTTTCTTCCCCTCCTGGCGATTATAAGGTCTATCAGGAATTGTTGAAAAGGATGGCTACCGTTCTGGGTATCCAACCAAAAAAAATCCAGGAAAAGTCTCTCAGACTTGTGAACATTTTAACCTTAGTGGGACACACTGTGATACCTCTCTATTAATGAAGTTATCCTTTAGACTTTTTAGGGTGCTATTACAGACCTTGTGTTTCCTGCTCCCTTTTGCATAAAAAAACAAAGGCAGAGAACAGATTAATAAGTGCTTTTTCAGGGTTTGAAACATTTTTATAATCATCCCCTTAGGTATTCCTTGATATTCTCTATAGCTAATAAAAGATATAGGGGTCATAAAACATTATCCCTGAAGAGCAAGGAGGCAAAAAATTGGATTTATTTGGAAGGAAGGTTTATTCCATGAGAGGCTTTCAGCTTTGAATTGCAAACAAGCAAGCTTTGCTGGGTCATTATGATTTTATCCTATGGATCAGTGTGTTAAAATTTAAGGACCGTCTTCCAGATAAGCTGAAATATAAATTCACAGCAATTGCGGATGAGGGCAAATACGGTTCCAGGACTACTTTGCAAGCTGGTCTAATTGTCAGTGACTACAGCTCAAGCCATGGCTTCTGCCATCATTATGTGACACTCTCTTCATGCGAGTAGCTGTCTCTTCCTCCCCTCCCTCCAAAAAAAGAGATTCAGCAGACTATTTACGACCTCCTTTCGACCTTTCTTCTCATCAGACTGATAAGTGGCTGCATAGTCTCTAGAATCCAAGAGCAACACTAATATCTCTGGGTGTATATGTATGTTGATGACAAAAATAATGCCCTTTCACTTGTCATAGAACTCCTAACAGAATCTGAGTTTTGTGACTCAAACCGATGATCTGCCCAGGAAGAAAAGTCACATGAAATATCTACCAACTTAATCATCTTCTGCAGCTGCAGGTTTATCTCAGCAAGCTGGGTGCTCAAAACAATCTATTTGATTAGTTGGTTAAGGACAGAATGCCATTGCCCAAAGTGATGTATTTTCCTGCCTCCTATCGCTAATCATTAGTTCATTTTCTAAGTGCTTGGGTCTCACGTCACCATGGATCAATGATTCTTAAACATGGTGGAACTGGGATACACCTTTAAGTTGGTTTAGGTCTCCTCTTATTCCCCTACTCATCCCACTTCACTGACCTCTCTCACAAGCTCATTTTACTGTGGGAGGTCCAATCTCTTCTGCTTATGGGGGCTAGAGAGGTAGTTCCTCCATTATTCAGAGGAAAATAATTTTATTCCTGCCACTTCATAATCCCAAAAGCAAAAGGGAGTCTTAGGCCTTTTATAGACCTAAGATAGCCCAAGAATTTCCTGAGGAAAATAAGTTTAATTGAAGTAGCCCTGTTAGTCTGTTTCAGCAAAAACAACAAGGAGTCCTTTGACACCTTAAACACTAACAGAAAAGACATAAGCTTTCATGAGCTGCAGCTCAGTTCATCAGTTGAATGATGTGAAAGACTCAGATGGCAGGGATATATACATACATACTGAGGTGGATCTGAATAGGGATTGGGAATGGTTATCTTGTTACAATAAGTAATTTTCCCTTTCAGGTAGTCTCACCTTCTTATCCCTGTTGAAAGGGGGTCACATTCACCCTGACTGAATTAGCCTAATTTAACACTGTTCTAACACTCTCATCTCTGTATGTATGTGTATATTCTTGCCATCTGAATCTTTCTCTTCATGCATCTGACAAAGTTTATGCCCGAATACATTTGTTAGTATTTAAGATGCCATAGGACTCCTTGTTTTTATTGAAGAAAATAAGATTCCAGATGTCACCTTAGTTTTTGTTATTCCTTTCCTGAATCTCAGGCACTAGTACGAACATGGACAGGATGTGTGGCAGGTGGCAGGGCTGGGAGTAGTACAGCTGCATGGCCAGGAGGAGCTGCTGGTGCGGGGCGCTGGCTTCTGGGAGTGGCGGCATCGCACTCATCTCCTTTGGCCGCAGTGACTCCTGGGAGCAGAGCTCTGTGGAACAGCAGATACTGATGTCTGTCCTCAAGCAGACATTTGTATCCTTGCAGAGCTCTACGTGTCACTCTCAGAAGGGGCTAATAAGCCCCTGTGGCCCCTGGGGTGCAGAGTGGTGGCAGGAGCCTTCTTACGCCACCCCCCTCTGCTGGCACTGTTCCCAGCAGCTGCCTTTGGCTACAGTTCCCTGTCCCAGTCAATAAGAGCTGCTGGGGGGTGGTGCTTGCAGGCAGGAGTAGCATGTAGAGACTAAGGATGTTAAGGACTAGTTGACTATCCAATAAGCAAATGCTTATCAGATAGTTGAATCGACTAGTCGATTTCCCCCCCCCCCAGCAAAGGGGGGGTGGGGAAAGGGAGTACTTCCAAGTGGCAGTGCTGCACGGAGCCCATACCTAGCTGATCCCTGGATCAGCTGTGTGGTGCTGATGCTTTGAAATGCCTCCATGGCAGCACCGTGTGGAGCCCGGGGTCAGCTGAGGACTCCTGAGCTGATCCCAGGTTCTGGCGTGGCATTTCAAACTGTTCAGAGCCTGGGGTCAGGCTGACTCTGGGTTCTAGGGAAATACTGTAGGAAACCCGGGGTCAGCTGGGGACTCCCCAGCTGACCCTGGGCTCTGTTTGGCATTTCAAACCAGCAGCTCAGCATGGAGCCTGGGGCCAGCAGGGGACTCTGAATCTCCCGCTGACCCCAAGCTCCATCTGGGTGATTCTTCTTTGAAATGCGCAAGAGCCCCCACTGGGCACTCTTGTACATTTCAAAACTGGCACGCCTGTGTGCAGCCTGGAATTAGTGGGACTTTCCACTGATCCTGGGCTGCACATGGAGTTCCACATTGCTCTTCTGAAATGTACATTTCAAAGGAGGAATGTGGAAGTGCCTGTCGACTAGTCGAGTCGTTGATGGAAATTCCATCGACTACTCGACAAGTAAATTACTCAATACTTTACATCCTTTGTAGAGACTCCTGCCCCTTTCCCTTGCCACATATGCACGGCTGCTCTGGCTGCTCCTGAGAATGGGCTAGCAGCATGGAGCAAGGGCAGGCAGTAGCCTGCCAGGTGCTGATTGTCTCAGACGGTTATCAGTGTTAGTCTGTAACTAAAAACAAATTGAAAAAAAATTAGTACTGTGGCACTTTAGAGACTAACATATATCTATATCTATATATAGCATTGTGAGCTTTCGTGGGCAAAAAATTGTATCCATTAATCCTTTTTCCTCTCTTCCTTGTTATTCTGAGGGTTCCCCCCCCTTTTTCCCCACTCAAGATGATCTCATCTGATGAAGCAGGTTTTGCCCATGAAAGCTCATGATACTATACATATATTTGTTAGTCTCTAAGGTGCCACAGGACTAAGTGCTGATTGTGGATCCCCAGGATTTATCAGTTGATTGTGATCAACCAACTGGTGGTGACTGGTGTAGGATATATATTTCCTGAGGAGGCTAGATGACCTAGTGGCTTAGGGGAATGGCTTCCCTGTCTGAAGCTAGAAGTCGTGCTTACAAATGTGGCTGTAATGGAAGGAGATGAGTAAAAATTGCTGCGTTTTTATATTTTACAATGCTTTCTTCCAACCTTGGAATCTATGAATGTCTGTGCAAGAAGGAAGAAATTTTCTTAGCTATTTCTGGAAAACTTCTTAGGCTGAAAGTCTTCAAAATACTAGCTGGACATGTTTAGGGCTACTGGAAAATTTCAAGGAATTTGTTTTATTTGATTTACCATTTAGGAGGATGTAGAGGGGATTTAATGTTTGTGTTCTGGAACATTTCTCAGTGGCAAGGCTAATTCTGATATAGCCATTTGCTGATTAGTGCTCAAGAAAAGACACGTCATCATTTTCTTGAAACAGATGCAAGTACAGAATTTATCGATAACTGGAAATTACATACACATGCAACTCATTTTGTCCCAAATCCAGGTTCTCCATTTAGAATAATATTAAAACCATGTCGTTAGAAAATAGTGTAATTCTTGCTTCACACAGTAGAACCCATATTACCAAAAGGTTTCAGAAAACTGGCGGAAACCTTCTGAGGATCAAAGCACCTGGTTTAGCAGACTTTAAAATCTGCAACATAGCCAGCTGACCAGCCTTTCCAGTGCCAGCTGGCTCAGCAGCAAAAGAGATGGCAGCTGTGCTTTGGGCATCTGGACCTCTGCACGTAGAGAGGAAGCCATGCTGACAAGGGAAGCTCTCAAAATCTAGTGGCAAAATTAAGCTCTGTTAACCAAGGTTAGTCAGTTGGGATATGCATTAATTTGAATAATAAATGTATCTCTTCTCTCAGTGAGATCATTGTATCTTCTTAGTACTTCTTTTATTTTCTCCTGTCAAGCAGTCACTCATGGTAACATGGCTGGCTTAGACTTCTTATCACAGCAAGTCATTGGCTGCTTCTAAGTTGAAACTAAAATTGGAAATAATCTAAAACTTGCAGGACTAAAAGTGTCAATGAAATGTTTTTGATTTAGCTGTTCTTTTCCATATAGTACGAAAATAGAGAAAGAGAAAAAGGAGCATGCTAAGTTACATGGAATGATTCGTACAGAAATAAGTGGAGCTGAAATAGCAGAAGAAATGGAGAAAGAAAGAAGGTTCTTTCAGCTTCAGATGTGTGAGGTAAGGTTTAACAGAATACAGTTGTTCCATTAGTATTCTCAAAAAGGAAATTTGAGAAAAGATAGATTCTGTCTTTCTATCAACTGTTGTATTCAACAGAAATTTTGAAGTTTATTACGGGATTCAAGATGTAAAATTTCTTCATCCTGGCACACAAACTTTGACAAACAATCTTCATTCTTTGCTATTTTACATACTAATACATACAGAATCACCTACGCTTCATTTCATTACATCATTCACAGATGAAATTAAACAGTAAGTCTTCACATTAGCGCTGCATCCCCAAACTACGTAGGGCTTATGCTGCTATCAGTTGCAGTCATGTAATGTGAAAAATCTCAGTTCTACACCATTGGGTTGGCATTGAAATACAAAAGCCATTAGGAATGTACTTTGTTTGCCTTTCAGGTTTTTTATCATGATAATAACGGTGTAATAATGGTTGTTATATAATTTTGTAGCATTTGATGTATGGCTTCCACCCTGTTTGGTTTCATGTTACAAGGATCCAGACTTTGAGACCTGACATGGAAAATTGAGCCTCTTCTATTGAGGCATTCTAGATGAGGGGTTGGCAACCTATGGCTTGTGAAGGAACCAAAAATGGCTCTTTTGGTTCCTTCTAGGTGCACCTAATTCCGCCTACCTCCTTGCACAGAAGCATTTGCCTTCCTTGCATGTGGAAGGTAAGCTTCTGGCAGCGAGCCTGGTAGGAGAGTGGGGGGTCAGGGATGCATGGTAGCTGCCTGGCTGCTCCTGGGGTGGGCCACGTGGTACAGCTGCCGGTACTGCAGCTGGGCTGCGGTGCAGCTGCTTTGGGAGCCAGGATGTACCACAGCCCATGGAAAGCTGCACTGCACCCGTGACTCCAGCTCCAGGAGCTGCTCCAGCAGCCACCCCACAGCCCGGCGGACTCTCATGGCAGCCTGCTGCCCTGTGTGCCAGAGCTAGAGCCGGACAAGACAAACTGTGGCACCGTGTTCTGCAGCCTAATAGTCTCTCCACCTCCAAGAGATGTTGGCAGTGGCCCCTCCCAACCCCAGGAGACGTGTTGGGGAGAGAGGGAAGGGTGTTGACTGGAAGCCACAAACCAACATATCCCCTGCTCCAGGACACACTGGGGGAGGACCAAAAACTACTGCCCCCGAGGAGATGCTGGGGGAGTGGGGGGAGGCAGAACCTGCTGTCCACCTCCCTCCACTGGAGGAGATGCTAGTGCGGTCTGGAAACTGTGCCTCCCCCCAGAGCAGCACCGTCTTGGCTGCCACGGACAACTCTGTTAAGCTCTCCCAGCCCCCTGCCCTGATTCCCCTGCCCTTAACCCTCCACCCCCGTCCTGATTCCTACACCCTCTCTGCACTAAGCCCCACCACATACCCTATCTCCTACCGTGCACTCCCCACCTCCTGCCTTCAGTGCCCCCATACCTTCCAGCCCCCTGCTCTCACCCCTGCACCCCCCCAGCCACTGTCCTGACTCCTGCACCCCCTCCTGAGTCCTGCATCTCCCACCCCGTACTCTGAGTCAGCTCCAGGATCCTCCATCGTCTGCCCTGAGCCTTCCACACACCCAAACCCCTGCCCTGACTCCTGCATTCTTATGCAGCTCTTTACTGACCACATGTTCTGAATTTTGATGTAGTTTGGCTCTTCGTTTTGAAAAGGTTGCCAATCCCTGTTCTAGGCTCTACTGTTGGTTAGAGCGAATTTATCCCACATGCTGGTGTGACTCAGTAGCAACTACCTTTTAATTACTAATCTAGAGTTTTAATACCAGAGACTGTGGCAATTAATTGGGAAAGCCCCGTATTCCTATACAGAATCTAAGACTGGGGTTTTCAATGCTGCCAAAGGGATTTGGACATTTGTTCATTTTAAAAGGGGAAATGGGTATTAAAATAGTCTAGACAGCTTTGAAAATCCGACTTGAAAAATTTGCTGCGTTTTACTTTCCTCAAGCCCTCACCGGTGCTATGTAGGAGAGACAATGTGAATATGAGTACAGCATAAGAACCTGATGTATAACATAATGTTCTTGATGTTGCTGCAGCAGCAACAAAAAATAAGGAAAAAAGGGTAGTGCAGAGAATCTCAAACTTGAATCTTTGTGCTTTGTTGAATCTCTTCACTTTAAAAAGCTAAATGTATTTTGTATGAAGCTGGTTGAATGCTTTCATCCGTTCAATGCTTCATTTGAAGAAGCACAGTAAAATGCAGCACTGAAGACTGTGCTTGAGTATTCAGTCATACAGAAACTATTAAATATATTCCATAACCATAGCCTGTAGACAGTAACATTCCATGGTTCATGATTTTGAATAGGTAAGGAAGACATAAATTAAGTAGACCTAATAACTCTTTGAAACATTCTTTTTGCATGATAATATATTTTCTAAATTGTGGGATTTCATTTTAATTTCATTCATACTTGAAAAATTCCTGAAGAATTTTGCAGCCCTTATTATATAGCTTGTTTTCTTTGCATTGCGATAAAATGCTTATTTTTTTCTGTGATGAAGCACCCCATTTTGTATATGTGCGTCTCTCACTTCTCTCGAGTTCCTTCTTTCCCTGTCAGTTTTTTTTTAAATGTCAGAGGAGCAGCAGCTCAGCTATTACAAGAAGTGCTCTGTGTGTGGTTTTAAAGTTCAACATAGCCAGTTCTCACAAATTTATCATGGGTGTCATGATTTGGATCCTGCTTTACAGAATGATTTGAAAAGTTGAAGCTGTCACGTGATTTTGGAGAATCAAAATGAAAGAAACACACCTCCCCATTCCTAAAAAGCCGTAAGGCTTAAAGAACAGTGCATTAAATTGCAAGCCAGAGACCAATAGGCTTTTTCCTAGCTCTTCCACTTAATGCAGTTGACTATTTCTGTGCCCTTCGTGTCCTTTATTTTGAGTCAAGGTTTCATAACGTGTGGAATAATTTTCATTTGCCAGTTTCAAAGAGAAGATAACTAAGAGCTTGCAATACGTCACTTTAGAGAGAGCCTGGAATAGAACCTAGCTTTCTGATGCAACTGAGTTTTGTCATCCATTCTGCCACAGTCTTTCAGAAGAAACATATTAGGGTAGGTGCTCTCATATAACAGTGTAGATCTATGTTCTCTAGGAAGGAGTACTGCAGAAAGGGATCTAGGGGCAGAGCCGGATTAAGACCTTTAGAGGTGCTAAGCACTGAAAAGATTATGGTGTCCGTCTCCCCCCTCCCTCCCCATATTGTAATTCAAAATAAAAACAATACTATATCGTAAAAACTCTTTTTTTTTTTTCTGGTGTCCCTGCTTTGCTGGTGCCCTAAGCATGTGCTTAGTCTGCCTATTGGGTAATCCAGCTCTGTCTAGGGGTCATAGTGGACAACAAGCTGAATATGAGCTAACAGTGTGATGCTGTTGCAAAAAAAGCAGACATGATTCTGGGATGCATTAACAGGAGTGTTGTGAGAGAGACACAAGAAGTAATTCTTCCGCTCTACTCTGCGCTGATTAGAGCTCAATTGGAGTATTGTGTCCAGTTCTGGGCACCACATTTCAAAAAAGATGTGGAGAAATTAGAGAAGGTCCAGAGAAGAACAACAAGAATGATTAAAGGTTTAGAGAACATGACCTGTGAAGGATGACTGAAAGAATTGGGCTTGTTTAGTTTGGAAAGGAGAAGACTGAGAGGAGTCATGATAGTGGTTTTCAGGTATCCAAAAGGGTGTTACAAGGAGGAGGGAGAAAAATTGTTCTCCTTGGCCTCTGAGGATAGGACAAGGAGCAGTGAGCTTAAATTGCAGCAAGGGAGGTTTAGGTTGGACATTAGGGTAAACTTCCTAATTGTCTGGGTGATTAAACACTGGAATAAGTTGCCTAGGGAGGTTGTGGAATCTCCATCTCTGAAGATATTTAAGAGTAGGTTAGATAGACCTCTATCAGGGATGGTTTAGATGATACTGGGTCCTGCCATGAGGGCAGAGGACTGAACTTGATGATCTCTTGAGGTCCCATCCAGTTCTAGTGTTCTATGATTCCATGTCCTACTATAGCTCAGGGCTACTCAACATGCGGCCCATGGCTCATTTGTTTGTGGCCCGCAGTGCAGTTTGGGTTTATGCAGAGCTCAACACCCAGCCCATGGGTGGGATCCTTTGAACATGGCCTCCACTGGGAACACATTCCATAATGGTGAGGCATCTCCCAAGCGGGTTGAGCATTGAAAGATGCAAGCAGACGGGCTGGCTGATACTGACAGGTTCACGATGTCAGCATTTCTAGTCCCCAGGGAGGAGATGCCGGGAGCACTGGGCATTGTGGGAACTGCTGGCTGCTTAGCCTTGTGGGCAGAGCCTGAGAGGTGCTAACTGGCTCACTCTGGCCACGTTTGGGTCCAGTTCCGCAGCATAAGGATTAATCTTTGTATTCATGCCTGTCAGTGTGAAAGACTATTTGCTTATATATTTGCACTATATGCAACCACACTTAAGTTACAGCCCTCAGTATATGCTGTGAGTATCATTGTGGCCCCCAGGGGCTTCCAAAGTTGAGTAGCCCTAGCTAATAGATTACAAAAAGATCTATGACCCAGCTGCTGATATGTTTACAAATGAGATGGGTTCAGTGACTCAGGAGGTCCTTTCGAGTCCTGTGGTCATATTGTTCCCAAATTAAGAGATCTAGGATCTTGACTTAAGTGGGGCCAGGATTTTATCTGTAGTTCAAGAGGTAGAGGCTCATGTTTTAATATCTGAAGGTCCTCTGTTTCATCCCTGCAGGTGACCCAAACAGGGTTGTTTTTACATTTGGCTAGGCTGACTATAATAATTAGACCACAATCTGCTCCCAGAGCCAGGAATAGAAACCAAGAATCCTGATGACCAGTGTTTTGCTGTGTTATCTCAAATATTTGTGTATATGTTATGCTTCCCTAGTGGACTTGATTGATGTAAAGGGTAATAATAGGTTCCGCCCACTAGTTAATCCCTATATCTGAGGAAGATAAGAGGTCAAACCATGCTGATAATGTGGGAGGTAGGGGAAAATAAGTATCTATTAATTTTAACAGTAGGACCCTAGAATAATTGCTAGAATTATTTTATGTTACAAAACAGACTGGTACAATTTCTAAATTCACTTCTAAATATTTTTGTTTCATTTGTATTTGGTTAATGAGAGCTGTCCAGTTATAGGTATTTCAGACTTAGTGTGTTTTGAGTCTGAACAATGTGTTGGAGATTTTGCCTGTGTCTCTAGAAAGTGCCTAGCAGAATGGGCCCCTGATCTTGCTGAGTCTCTAGTAAGTGCTCCTTTCACAGGACCCAACATCACCATGCTTACTATAAATTTCTGAGGGTATGTCTACACATCAAAGTTAATTCGAAATAACAGCCATTATTTCAAATTAACTTTACTAGTGTCTACACAGCCAAACCACTATTTCAAAATAAATTCGAAATAGCGGGGCACTTCTTTCGAATTTGGTAAATCTCACAATGCAACTAGACAGGGGAATGCAAAAATCAGAAGACAACCAAATCTCTTCCCCCATTCCCTTTCATGATTTTTGGACCATGTTTGTCATTGGCAATAGTGAAAAACACCTCTGGCATATAAACATGTTTATAATCTGAAAGATGTTTCTTGGGCTTGCACCATGGCTGGCTTGACTGTAAATGTGCATCTAGATGCCACTGTTTGGTTCCAGGATGATTTGGTGAAGGCATTCCAGGACTCCTTCAGACTTCCTGTAATCTGACTTTCAGTAGGCCTCAAGAGTTAAAGGGCAAGGGTTTGGTGTATTGAGTATCCTGTGTATTGAGACTTGGCATTGACACCAGTTCTTTGAGGTGTAATTGAAGCCCTGATGTTTCTTTTCCACACGGTCAAAGGTTTTTCAGTTTTTTGAAATCTTAAGTGGTTGTTAAGATTTGCTGAAATATAATTGAAAATAATTTTTAAATTGTCATTCCTTTAAATCACAAAATATGTAACAGTAATTGATATTTCATTAATTTTGCTTCTGTGAATTACTGTTTTAATAGTACCTGCTGAAAGTCAATGAAATCAAGATTAAGAAAGGCGTTGACTTGCTTCAGAATCTGATCAAGTATTTTCATGCACAGTGCAAGTAAGTTTGTAGAATTACAAAGAAACACAAAATTCTTAGAACAATATTCTGCATTTTCATGGAAACTGGGAGTGACAATGACTTTTCCAAAAATATTTTTCTGTGTCTTCAAGATAGCTCTAAAACTAAGGTGAACATGTTTCACCGCAGACTTTTGAGATATTGATTTGGTGTAACTGATCAGTAACTGGTTTGTTGCTATATTACTTAATATGAAACAATGTGTTAGATGGAATTAATACTGTGGGTTTGTTGTCATCTGCACCATATAATCATCACACGATCATTTGTTGTGTTTAGTAATTTGTCCATGGAAGGGAGTGAGGCAGATTGACCTCCTGGCTTTGAGATCTTTCTGTGTGTGTCTACCAGTGAGCAAAATCAGTTCTATTCAGTCTAAAATATATATTGGGTAAGCAATCGAGTAAAAGCGAGTTGAGAGAGAGTCTTTATTTCTAGCTGAATGGACAACTTCAGTAATGAGAGATTGAGACTGAGTGATGCATTAGACTGCAGGATACTAGAATTTGTTTTACTTTGTTTTTGGCAGATTGATAACATAACAATAAACTCCGTATTATGAAGTGTGAATGACATTTTGATCCTGTTTAGATCCATAAATATCCACTTTGCTGTGTTACTAGTAATACTCAAATGATTTTCATTGTTGATAATCCATTATTCATCTACTTTAATCATTTCATTGAGCTTGGGCAATGAAAATAATTATTTTCCTATGTAATTCACAGTGCTGCTATATTTGTGTTGCAGACACTGCAGAGGAATATTTAGTACAAACCAACTCTGTGTGTGGTGTATTTTTTTTCATCATTAAATTATATAAAATGTTCACTTTTTGTACTTATTTAAAAAGGGTTGAAATAGCTGGGGACATGATCATAGTTTTTTTTTTATTTGTCTGTGCATATGCATATTCAAGCCACACATACTTATCAAATGCTTAACCAGAAGTGGCTGCTTGGGTCTCTTTGAGAAGCTGAGGGATCCTCCCTTTTGTGGTAATCTCTCATCAGATCCTAAGATATTGGACGTCAGAATTAATGGTGTTTTTATGTGCAAAAGAACTGTCAGTGGTTTTTAAACCAATTCTTCCTTATCCTGGACTTGCAGAGAGGGAAGTGGTATGTGTGTGTTTGTGCTAGAAAAGAGATTGCATATTTTTAGTGAGGAAAAAGGAAGATCGATTATAAATTGAGGTCAGGATATTTTAAGAATTCAGTTGCTAGAATGTTAGAATGAATTTGCAAGAAGATGGGTTATTGGGCAGCAGACATGTAAACATTTTTTAAAAAACCCACCTAATTGTGTAACCAATTGAAATTCAGTTGGTTACACGGTTAAATGCTCAGCTGGCTACATGGGCTCCTGGGAGTTTAACTAGTAGAGCTAGTGGGCAGATATCAGGTTAATTGGCCAGAAGTCTATGACATGAATGTATCCTATGGCCTTGTAATTTACTGCTTTTTTCATAATTTGTCCTATGACTATCACCTCTGTGTATATGGAGTCTATGTACACCACCCCCTCTTGCACAAAAAATATGCAAATAAGGTGAAGTGTGGACTATCACAGCACCTCATTTGCATATTTAATGAGGCTCCATTTTTGTGCAAGAGGCTTTTGTGCAAAAAGGAGCTGTCTACATGGCTCCTTTTTGCGCAAAAACCCCCTCTTGCGCAAGAGCCATTCTTCCTCTCTTTCTTCAGGAAGAATGGCTCTTGTGCAAAAATGGAGCCTCATTAATTATTCAAATGAGGTACGGTGATATTCCACGCTTTGCCTCATTTGCATATTTTTTGCGCAAGAGAGGGCAGTGTAGACATAGCAAAGGTGTTTCTCAGAGAAAAGAACAAAATACGTTGAGCCTATGACATTCATTCTAACAATACTCTTTCCTTTCTGAACAAAACAAATTTTTTTTTTTTTTTTAAGTTTCTTCCAGGATGGACTGAAAGCAGTTGAAAGCCTGAAGCCTTCAATGGAAGCACTCTCAACTGATCTTCACACAGTGAGTAGCAGTTTTCCATACTGCTATTTCAATTATTTTTGTTAAAGAAATCAAATATTTTTTTATTCAGATTTATTTAGTAGAGACTGTGCATAGATTATAAAATTATTTATTTATGTGTTTGCGTTTGTGTTGCTGTCATGTTTAGAAGGACCATATTTTGGTAGGTGCAGTGCAAACTAGGGACCTTAATGGGTGTTGCTTACCCGGCAATGATTAACCATTCCCCGGGAGAGCAGAGAGTTACTTCAGCCCCACAGGGCTGCTGGCTCCCAGCCCCCAAGCCTGCACAGACTGGGAGCCTGCTGCCCTCCACTGCCTAGCTTCCTCCCACCCTGCATGGGCTGGAAGCCAGCAGCTGGGTTGGAGCACCCCCTGTCTGTAGCACGGAGGCCTTCCTGCACATCTCCATTCAATCAGTTAATTGGTTAAACTTAACATTTAACTGGATAATTAAACAGGATTTTACATACCTAGGACAGAACAAAAAGACAGTCCCTACCTACCCCAAAGAATTTGCAATCTAAATATAAAACAAAAGCAGATGGAGACAGACAGACAGCAGTGCAAGTAAGCATTGAGACAATATAAAACAGTATGGTAGGCAGTGGTATCAGTGCACCAGCAGCCAAACAATTGCCAATTTTTTTGAAGGCATCTGGATAAAGGAATTTATTGTTTCTCTTTTGTATTTTCATTCTCACTGATAATTTGTCAGAAAATCTGAACCAGTGAAGCAACAAGCTATAAAAAACTCTATTAATATAAATAGTAACACATTAATTTTTAACTTCTTGTGTCTATGTCTGTACTCTAGATTAAACAAGCACAGGATGAGGAAAGAAAACAACTAATACAGCTTAGAGATATTTTAAAATCAGCACTCCAGGTTGAGCAGAAAGAGGTGAGCATATAAGGTGATTGAACTTTGAAAAATATCCACTTTAAATAAAATTTTAATTTAATGTTAGTATTTGAAGTGCAATCAGTTATTTATACCAGTAGTATAAATTTGTTTGTTTTTTTGGTTAAACTGTTAATCCTTGTCTTGATGATGATGTTAGGTGCTTCTGACAAGTTTTTTTAGAAGGAAGGAATTCTTCCAGACTTTCAGTGAGAGTTTTTGCAAAAGGACTTTCCTGCTTGTCTCTTTCTAGTTTTGTAAAATGCTTCAGTAGTTTGGGCATTGCCATGCAGGTGCATGGTTATTTCTGTCACTCAGACTGAGAATGAAAGCACTTTGATATCAATAAGACCCAGGCAGTAAGGATCTTATGTAGTAAATATAGTCTCAAGACTGTTTTAAATTATCATAAATTCAACCCCCCAAATGCCTCATCAGCAACAATAACAATGGAGCTAGAAGTTGTGCTGCCTGACCTCATCTCTCAAAGATGTCAGTATGTTGAGTCACTTGAGTAATTTAATTGATTGAACAATTTGTCTGATTAATACAAATGCATCCGCTGTGATTTTCAACCAGGATTGCTCAGTCAAGTTATCAACATACTGAGGGAGGTTCAAACTGCAATGCAGTATGGTTAAGACCCATGCTTCTTCTGGGTGATTATAATCTAGCCTGTAATACTGGGTTTACCACATTGCTTTCCATATTTGTAGACAACGTGGCACTTTGTTTCAAGCAATTTTTGGGTCAGCCACAGTTCAGGTCAATTGTGTCTTCATGTTTTGGGGCACCTACTCTTTTCAGCCATCTTCTCTCACAAACAGAGTCCCATTTCTCTCTCCCTCTTGACCAGAGTTTTTCCAGGTTGTACATCTCCCTGCCTGCACTGTGACATTTCCAGCAAGCCATACTACCTAAACAGGCCAACGTCTGTCTCTACTTTGGTATGCTAGGCATCATTGTCCGCAGATCATGGTCTTAAAAGGGTGATTTTTATTTAAAAAACACCACCACCACACTTGGTGAAACATTATTTGGTTGTTAGGTGTTACAAAGCAATTAAAAATGAAGGCGTTTTTTAAAAAAAAAAAAAAGAATTGCTTTTCTGGGATTCAGTTTGGATCTTAAAGATACTTCAGCTTAATTCAATAAGGTCTCCCAAGGATATGCAGGAAATTTCTGTCAGTCAGTTGTAAGGTTCATAAATAAAATGACAAGTATAACCACTTTTTCCTCTCAGCTTTTCTTTTGGGGAGAGATTATTAAAGAAGTTGTTGTGAAATAACTAGTATCTTCTGTTATCTCTTTCTAGCTGGCTTTGCATTTGGCTGTGCTGCTTCTGGTTCTAGTTCTGGCTGAATGTCTATTAATTAATTATTGGAACAGTCTACCAAGGATTGAAGTAGATGTTCCATAACTGGCAATTTTTTAAACCAAGATTGGACTTTTTCTAAAAAAAATATTCTCTAGTTCAAACGGGAACTCATTTGGGGAAGTTCTGTTGCCTGTGTTATGAAGGAAATCAGACTAGATGATCAAGTGGTCGGTCCCTCCTGGCCTTAGAATCTATGAGTCATGCTCATAAGCTGTCCAGCAGTTTTGGATCCTATTGCCTGTGAGATGCTACTGATGTGCAAGGTTGGATGGTGTTAAAGTTTGTATTGCTCAACTCCTTGCCCTTGGAGAACTCTAAGAAGGAAGTTTTGAGCAGTTGCTCACCTGTCCAGAGGGCTTTAGAATCTTAAATTTTTTATGCACTCATTCCTCATTTAATGTATACTTGAGGGGCTGCCATTGGTGAAAATGGTAAGACACTTTGAACTGTAGTGGCTCACAGGTGTAAGCTTCTTTTTAATTAGGTACAGATGAACTGGATATCTTTACTTTATACCTCTGGCCAAGGTATAACTGTCTTGACACTGAGTTCACTGAGGGTACGTCTACACTGCATCCCTAGTTCGGACTAGGGATGCAATGGAGACGACTGAAGTAGATAATGAAGCGGGGATTTAAATATCCCGTGCTTCATTAACATGATCTTGCCGGCGCGCTAGTTCGAATCACAGCTGATTCGAACCAGGAAGTGCGCACCAGGACGTGTTAGTTTGGGCTAAAGCCCTTAGTCCGAACTAACGTTACTCCTCATGAACTCGGCGAGATCATGTTAATGAAGCGCGGGATATTTAAATCCCTGCTTCATTAACTACTTCGGTCGTCTCCATTTGCATCCCTAGTCCGAACTAAGGATGCAGTGTAGACGTCCCTGACACACACACCAAACAAGAAAGAGGTGACACTTGCAGATTGGAGAAGATACTTTGAAAGGGCTATGTCTGCCTTTTATTCTGAGGTCCCTTGGGATCCTTGGTCTATGGCCAGGCTCCAAGGTTGCAGTAGTAGTTGAATGCTTTTTTCAACATCTGCGTGAAAGGCTTTCCTCACTAGACAAGCATAGCCATTTTCACTTTCAAACCCACCTCTGCAGGTTTGCTATGATCTGCACTGTTCTTTAAGGCCATTTTGAAAATCTCAACTAATGCATACTATACATGCTTCCTTTACTATATGACAGGGGTAGGCAAAAGGGCCTTTGTGGGCCGGATTTGGCTCGCCAAGCGGGTTGATCTGGCCTGCGGAGGCCCTGCTGCTCCCTTGCCGCAGGCCAATTAGGGCCTGGGGGCGGGGGAGCGCACTAAACTTCCTCCCGCCCTGCGAGGAGCACACGGCACTTCTAAGTACTATGCTCTCCTTGCAGGGCAGGAGGAGACATTACATGCTCCCCCGCCCCCAAGCCCTGATTGGCCTGAGGGCAGGGGAGCTGCGTGAAGTTTCCTCCGCCCTGTGAGGAGTGCATGGCACTTCAAAGTGCTGTACGCTCGCGCAGGGCGGGAGCAGGGCAAATTAAACTTCACACAGCTCCCCCGCCCCCAGGCTCTAATTGGTCTGGGGGTGGAGGGAGCGTGCAAAGCCTCCTCCTGCCCTGTGAGGAGCACATAGCACTTTGAAGTGTCATGTGCTCCTCGCAGGGCGGGGGAAGGCCTTGTGCTCCCCTGACCCCTGGCCAATCGGCCTGGGGGCAGGGGAGCTGCGTGAAGCTTCCTTCGCCTTGCCCCTGCCCTGTGAGGAGCATGCAGCGCTTCAAAGTGCCATTTGCTCTTTGCAAGGCAGGAGGAGGCTTTCTGCACTCCCACACCTCCAGGCCCTGATTGGCCTGGGGGTGGGGGAGCGTGGGAAGCCTCTTCCCGCCCTGCCAAGGGCATGGGTGCCTAGTGGGAAGGGGGGGCAAAGAGGCTCCACCCCTAACCCCAGACCATTCATGGTTTGGAGGTGGAGTAGCCCAGAAGCATCATGGCCCCACCTCTTTACGGTTTAGGCCCTGCCCCTTCCAGCTGGCCCAGGGCCATTTAAAAACATTTTGCAGTGGCCTCCAGGCCAGAATTATTGCCCACTCCTGCTATATGGTGTCGGTTATACTTGTGTAGTACCTATTACACCTCTAGTCCATAGACAACACCAGTTAGCTTCAAGGCGCAATTTCAGATGTTGACCTTAAATGTATAAAATTCTACATAGTTTGGGTCCTGGCTATATTAGCAAAATATTTGTGACTTACTGGAGGACACTTGACAGCAGTCCTCAGATTTAAGTTCTGGGGAGCTGAAGACAAGTAGTGTATTAATAGAGATAAGGAGTACTTTGTCCCTGGAGTTTGCTTCTCCCCGGGATGAGAGTTTTTTGTTCTTTAGTGCAAATTGCAAAGACTTCAGTTTTAACTAAGGCTATTGCTTGAGAAAGATGGCCTGAGACAGATTGAATTTTGTTGTTATTTGGGAGGTGGTTTCTCTGAGTTGACATGTCTTTTTGTCCTTGTTAATATTTGTATTAAGATGCCAAGAGCATGTGATGAGCACATTGTTACAAACTGGAAAAAAAAGTAATACAAACTTGTATGTTCTTAGAAGTAATAATAAGGCAATGATTTCAGTAAAGTTTTTTTTGGGACTGTGTTAAGTTTAAAAATGTGTGTGTAAAAATTGCTTTAAAAGAAAATGTTCTGCTAATTTCATGGTACATCATTCTTTTATTCTGCAAATCTGTGTGTGCATAGACATGTCTGCTTCCTTCAGGCTACTACAAGTAAAATAATTATTTGAGAAACATAAAGTACTGTAAAGCCAGTTAGTTTTGATAGTAACTTATTGTACAACAGTTATTCAGATTTGTTCATTACAATGTAATTTCTTATACTGTAACCGATCTTTTTTTTTCCTCCTAAAATGCATTTACCTTTTGTGACCGAAGTCTAGGAGAGTAAGTGTTTCAGTGTGTTTATAAATAATATTTTGCATGATTTCCATGTGGATTTCAAGAAACTGGATTTTTCTTTGAAAAGTATTTGTTTTATGTGTATGCAACACTTGTTTCCCTTTCCCTTTGTGTTCTGTGAATTGCCTCAGAAAGGTATTAGGCTTTTAATGGGGAAAAAAGATGTATTAGTGCAAATCAGAATTTTAAACAGACGGCTGTATTCTTTCTTTTTGTTGAAAATCAAATCTGGTTGCTTCTGTAACCGATCTTAGAGCTGAGAGAGAGAGAGAGAGAGCGAGAGAGAGAGAGAGAATCCATTTCATGAATGAACTAATGGAAATGTTGTGTATTGTCCCTATTGTGTATTTATGTTCTTTTAAAACATTCACAGTGAACATCTGTTGTTGTGACTGTATGCATCATTTTCCTTTACATGCAACTTCCCAAAACTTGATTTGCAGCACAACTTCCTTTCATTTAGTCACTGAAAATGAATTTTGCTTGTGTGTGTTCACTTGGCTTGATAATTTTTATTTTTTTTAAACGTGAAATGTGTTTTCAAATTGTAGAATACGTATAGGTTCAAATACTAGCCTTGCAGCAGAATGACTTCTTGATTTCTCTTGACTTTATTGACATTTCTGCTTCTAAAGAATTAGTAACAAGATTACAACTAGCTATAGGATTTTACTGAGGGAAAAACAGTAATTCATTCATTAGAATGGTATAAAATTAATGTGGCATATATTAAATTGGTTAGGCTAATCAATAAATCTCAAAATGTAGTTGTAAATGAGTAATAATGATCAAATGGGCGTGTTTCCACTGAAGTCCCACAGGTATCAGTGCTTAGTAGGGTTGTTGGTGTTTTAACAACAAAAAAATGAACACCCTTGCTCTGCCTTCTTCCCTGTCTGTTCCTTGAGGCCCCATCTCTGTGTCCTTTCCCTTTTCTGAGGCCTTACCCTGCTCCCTTCATCACCCCACACTCCATCACCTGTGGCAGGGAATTGGAGTACAGAATGGATTTGAGGGCTCTAGCTGGGGAAGTGGTCTCCCAGCGGGGTCAGAAATGAGGGGTTCAAGGTGCGTGATAGGGCTCCTGTTGAGTGAGCAGGCTCTGGGGTGTAATTGGGGATGAGGTGACTGGAGTGTAGGAGAGAGCTGAGGATTGGTCAAGGGGATTAGGTGTGTAGAAGTTACAGACTCCAGGAGGGAGTTTAGATACTGGATGGGACTCTGGGCTGGTGCAGGAGGTGTGGGGTGCATACCACGGCGCCCAGGAAGCTTCCGCCAGGTTCCTGTGTCCTCTAGGTGCAATGGGGCTCTGTCCATGCACTGCCTTTGCAACTACAGGCACCACCCACACAGCTCCAATTGGTTCCTGGCCAATGGCAAGTGTGGAGCTGTCACTTTGCTTGCTCTCCCTGCTCTTGAGTGACCACTCCATAGCTCTTATTGCCTGGGAACGCTTTGCTTGCTCTCCCTGCTCTTGAGTGACCGCTCCATAGCGCTCCTATTGCCTGGGAACTGTGACCAATGGGAGCTCTGGGGAGCCACGTTTGCAGGTGCAAAGGCAGCATGTGGACAGAGCCTCCCTGTGCATAGGTGCCACAGATACTGCTTCTGGGAGCCACATGGAGCCAAGGCAGGTAGGGATCCTGTCTTAACCCCACTGCTCTGCTGTGCCACCGACTGCAGAGCTCTGGCCACTGACTGTTAACAGCCTGGTTGGCGGTAGGGATGTGAAAGGTTAACCAGTGGGGGCTGGAGCAGCTGTCTGCCAGCCACAGGCAGGGGATTGTTCTCGTATGTGAGGCCCACTGCAGACAAGTGGCCGCATGCAGGGTCTGCTCCATCTGGGCTGAAGTAGCCCCTGTCCATGACGGGCTGGGGGGCAGGGACACTCCAGCCCCTCCATCCCCCCACCTGTTTCCCTTCAATCTGTTTACTGGTTAATCGATTAAATGGAATTTTACTTCCTTAGTTAGCAGTGCCAACTAGAGCCACCAGGGACCCTTTTTGACCTGGCATTCCAGTTGATTACTGGATGGCCCTTACTGCTTGGCCCTCTCTACTTAACATTTTTATGGGTGACTTAGATGGAAACATAAAATCATCAGTGATAGAGTGTGCCAACAACATCAAAAACTGAAGAAATGGTAAATCAGGAAGAGAACAGATCAGTGATCAGAGCGATTCTGATCATTTGGTGAGCTGGGTGCAAGCAAACAATACGTAAAAAATTACAGAAGAATTTAAGAACCATCATATTGGGGCAGACCAAAAGTCTGTCTAGCCTAGTGTCCAGTTCTGCTGAGAGTGGCTAATGCCAGGTGCTTCAGAGAAAATGAACAGACCCTGTCATCATCAAGTGATCCATCTCCTGTTACCCTTTCCCAGCTTCTGGCAGACCAGAGACTATTACCACCATTCCTGGCCATCCTGACTGACTGCCATTGATGGACCTATCCTCCATTAACATATATAGTTTTTAAAAAAAAAATCTGTTCTGGTCTTGAACTTGACAACATCTTCTGAGAAAGAGTTCCACAGGTTGCCTGTGTGCTGTGTGAAATTTTTTTGTTTTCCTATTAATTTCATTTGATGAACCCTAGTTCTTGTTTTATGTGTTTTTAATATGGCTAAATGCATACATCTAGAAACAAAGTATGTAAGCCATACTTACAGTACGAGAAGAATCTATCCTGGGAAGCAGTGAGTCTGAAAAACAAATGGAGGGTCTTTATGGTTAATTAGCTCAACATTAGCTCCCAGACTTATGCTGTGCACAAAAGAATTAATGCAGTCCTGGGATGCATAAACTGGAATCCTGAATCAGAGTAGAAAGGCTACTTGATCTCTACATTTGATACTGGTCTGACCACTGCTAAAACACTGCTTGAATTTGGTGCACACAATTCAAGAAAGATGTTGATAAATGGGTGAGGCTTCAGAGAAGCGCCATAAGAATAATTAAAAGATTAGAAAACTTGCTTTACAGTCTCAAGAAACTCTGTATATTTAGTATAAAAAAAAAGAGGATGGAAGGGATGACTTGATGACAGACTGTATCTGCAAAGGGAATAAATATTTAATAATGAGCTGTTTAATATAGAAGAGACATGTCTAATTGCTGAGTGGTCTCTAGTAGAAGCTAGAGGAATTCACACGGGAAATAAGGTATACATTTTTAAGTAATCATAGGAATTATTTACCAAGCATCATGGTATATGCTCCGTTGTTGACAATTTTTAAATTTTTTAAAAGTTGTGTTCTCTGAATTATTTTGAGGAATTTCAATGGCCTGTGTAATAGAGGAGGTCAGACTAGATTGTTACGATGGTGCCTTCTGGCCTTGGAATCTATGGATTTATTACTTTATAGTCATTCACTTTTTTGCCAGTTAGGTTTGAAAGTAATTGTAATGTACTATTTTTTTAGTTCAGTAAGATAAAGATCCCTTTCTTGTTCTCCTGGAATCTGGCCTATCTAGGTCAGTTCTAGGTAGAATAATTTTTTACTCCATTGGTAATGATAAATATGCCATATATGAGTTCAAAAGTCTCAGAGGGGTAGCCGTGTTAGTCTGTAACTTTAAAAAAAAAAAAAAAAAAGTCCTGTAGCACCTTAGAGTGCATCTACACTGCAGGGTTTACTTTGAAATAAGCTACAGAAATTGAGCTACGTCAATTGCATAGCTTATTTCGAAATAGGGAGTGTCTACAAAGCCATTATGTCAAAGTAGAGCAGTCTTCCTCTGACTTCCCTTATTCCTCATACAATGAGGATTACAGGAGTTGGAGTAAGAAGTCCTTCAGCTTGACAGTATTTTAACACAATATCGAGATAACTGCCTGCTGTGTAGATGTGGACTAAGTTATTTTGGAATAGCGCTAGTTATTTCAAAATAGTGTTGTAGCGTAGATGTACTCGTAGTGACTAACAAAAATATATATATAGTATCATGAGCTTTTGTGGGCACAACCCACTTCTTCAAATGGGTTGTGACCATGAAAGCTCATGATACTATATTTTTGTTAGTCTTTAGGGGTATGTCTACACTAGCTTGTTAGTTCGAGCTAGGTAGGCAAATGAGGGCAACCGGAGTTGCAAATGAAGCCCGGGATTTAAATATCCCGGGCTTCATTTGCATGTTCCCGGGCGCCGCTATTTTTAAATCCCCTTTAGTCTAAAGTAACTACGCCGCCATTTTTAAATCCCCTTTAGTCCAAAGTAACTGCCTGTGGCTAGACGCGGCAGTTAAATGTTAATTCGAACTAACTCCTTAGTTCGAATTAACTGTTACTCCTCGTGGAATGTGGAATCATGAAGGGGATCCTCAACATGGATTCACCAAGGGCAAGTCATGCCTCACCAATCTAATTAACTTCTGTGATGAAGTAACTGGCTCTGTGGACATGGGGAAGTCAGTGGATGTGATATACTTTGACTTTAGCAAAACTTTTGATACGGTCTCCCACAATATTCTTTCCAGGAAGTTAAGAAAGTATAGATTGGATAAATGAGCTGTAAGGTAGATAGAAAGCTAGCTAGATTGTCGGGCCCAGTGGGTAGTGATGAGCAGCTCAATGTCTGGTTGGCGGTCAGTTTCAAGTGGACTGCCCCAAGGATTGGTTCTAGGGCTGGTTTTATTCAACATCTTTATTAATGAACTGGATGAGGGGATGGATTGCATCCTCAGCAAGTTTGCAGATGATACTAAGTTAGGGGGAGAGGTACATATGTTGGAGGGTAGAGTGACCTAGACAAATTGAAGGACTGGGCAAAAATAAATCTGATGAGGTTCAACAAGGACAAGTGCAGAGTCCTGCAGTTGGGATGGAAGAATCCCAAGCATTGTTACAAGCTGGGGACCGACTGGCTAAGTAGCAGTTCAGCAGAAAAGAATCTGGGGATTACAGTGATTGAAAAGCTGGATATGAGTTAACAGGGTGCCCTGGTAGCCAAGAAAGCTAATGACATATTCGGGTGCATTAGGA